TGGTGATGTTGGAACTTCTTTTGAGGTTAGTGGCATTTATTGAGTTTTTCTTTCCACTTGTTTAAAATATCTATGAAATGTGGCTTTCACCACTTGTGATGCATTATTTATCATAATTGGGTTCTTGATAAAGCCTACCGCTAGTAGATATAGTCCTCTTTGAGCTTTCCTTTTCGGTCTTCCCCTCAAGATTTTAAAAACGCATCTGCTACGGAGAGGTTTCCACACCCTTATAAAGATTGTTTCATTCTCCGCCCCCACCATTGTAGGATTTTACAATCCACCCTCTTTCGAGGCCCAGTGTCCTCGCTGGCACTCGTTCCCTTCTCCAATCAATGTGGGACCTCACAATCCACCCCCCTTCAGTGCCCAATATCCTTGGTGGCACACCGCCTTGTGTCCACCCCCTTTGAGTTTAGCTTCCTCGCTGGCATATCGCCTGGTGTCTGACTCTATACCATTTGTAACAGCCCAAGCCCACCGCTAGCAGATATTGTCCTCTTTAGGCTTTCTCTTCCAAGCTTTCCCTCAAGGTTTTTAGAATGTGTCTGCTAGGGAGAGATTTCTTCACCCTTGTAAGAATGCTTCGTTCTCCTCTGCAACCGTTACCTATGCTACCTATGCAGTTGTTTAAAATATACTTGAAATGCGACCATCAAATGTAAACTATGACATTCTCCAAAGCGAGATAAATTGATATACCACCTGTTGTCATAAATTCTTTTGTAAATTGTTCTGGTTTTGAAGCAGATCCAGGATGAGGGACGTTTGAATGTCAGAAATTCCTTAACACCATTGACGGCACAGTTGGCACTACAGAGGATACTGCCATTTCCATGCACAAAACAGTACACTGCAGTAATTCTATTACCAAGTTCATATCGCTTCAAGAAACTGAAATCATTCTTCCGCCTTGGTCTATCATCTCCTGCCAGAGACGCAAAGGTTAGTTTCATACCGGTTCTCCTGTCACTTGCTGTACTCCACAAAGTCATAATGCATGCAATTTCTTATTTGAATTTTAAAAACACTCCTAAAATGTAGAAAACAAATTTTATAGGTCTTATTTTCAAAAACAAAAAACGAAATGGTTATAGAACGGGATTTTACCTATTGCCATTTTGGTTGAACTTTTAGATTCCTTGATCTTGTGGGCAACCATTCTGCATAGAAAACGTTGGACCTCCCTTTTAAGGGCCATTCATTCATTCTTTCTTTCTTTCTTGTGTTGATATTTGTGCAATTCCATTGGTTTGGAAAGATTTAGATATATGTGGGTGTGTGTTTGTTTGGGTGAGCAGATTCTAGTGGGCGTTGCGGGTGTAGCAGTTTTGACGTTTAGCCTGTGGAGATATTGGAGCAGTAACAAAAAATGATAAGTGGATGCGCTTCCGGTTGGTTGCTGTTGTATTAACTTAAATTCTGGCGTACATACTGTGATGATGAATTATTGAGAATGAGGCATCGATCAACGGAGCTTTCCAAATGGAGGGATCCAGCTTTCCTTTCTCCACTGACTTAGAAGCAAAATTGATTGATAAACAGCTCATATTTGCAACAGATTATTGTGTAGATTTATCAAAGAAAGAGGCAGTCATAATAATGAGCTGTGTGTGTGTATCATTGCATTTGCCCATTCTTCATTTCCTTCCTCTATAACCCATTCATTCATGATACTTGTAGCTCTTGATGTATTAAACCTTGGCAACACCTTCAAACTCTTCTCTTTTCTCTTGTTTCAATCTCTACACTTTCACTGCACCGCTTTGAATGATTCCGAGTTCGTGGCTTTATTATTGTCCTTCAAACTTTTGACTTCATGGTCAAGAACACGTGTTTTAACTCGATGAGTTATGATGTTCTTTGTTAATTTTGCTCCATTTATTTTCTCAATGATATGTAGAATTAAGTAGTGGAAATGGGTTGGGACCTATTCTTGCTATATGTCTCATGAGTGCTCCATTTAGGGTGTATTCTTCGTTGGTGTATTCTTCTTGGGTACACAAATGATATTACCTTTAGTATATTTAAATTACCATTAAACTTCAAATTTACTTCCATAATTAAACTCTAAATTTGATTAAGTCTTCAAAATTAAACTAATCTTTTTCCAACTAACTAATAATAAATGACCCAAATTTACCGTTCAAAGTTTGGCCATATAAATGTTGAACACCCAACCATAAAAAAAGATCAAGTATATGGTTTAATATGCTAAAATGGAGTTTTATTTTATTTTATTTATTTTCCCTTTTTTAAAAAATAGCCCATTTATTATATTCATCGGTCCATTTATAGGCCCAAACTTGACAAAGTCTGTGACACAATAAGCCCGCAATAATTTAAACCCTTATATAAAGTCAGCATTAGGGTTTATTGGTGCGCCTGAAGAACATCTCTTTCACTGGAGGCCACTCTTCGCGTTGCCGAACGCCAGGTCTCTACTCTTGAACTTTGAACATGTCTTCTCAATTATTAGTTCAATACTTCGTTTTCGCTTGTCTTGAAACTTTGTAAACCGGTAAATCATGATCTGTTTTGGTTTTGATTACCTTTTTGCTTTTTATGCGATCGGCTTGGCCGCTTCCGGCCGTTTCTAATCTGTGAAGCTTATGAATCGTTTTAATATATATATCGGCATGTCTGAATTTGAGAATTTAGAACTCGTAGAAATTTTGTCTGCTTATCTTCAAAAGGCTTACTGCGTACAGGTATTTTTGAAGAGATTTAAAAATGGTAGAGAAGACCAAAGGAAGAAAGGAGGAGGTAGTCTCCAGAGAGTACACTATTAACCTTCACAAGCGCCTTCATGGCTGGTACGTTCATTTTATCTGCCTCTCATGTGTATTTTTCCTTTTTAATGTTCGGTATGTATATTCTAGCTGATTATGTACTTTATGTGGGAGGAGTAACCTCGATTTAGTAGTGGCTATGCGTTTACTCTTTTTAATGTTCGGTAAGTCGTCAGATTTTTGTACTTTACTCGGAAGTGTGTGCCATGAGTTTACTCTTGCTTCCCTTTTCCTAGAACTATTGATTGGTATTACTAGATTTTAGTTCGTACCGTCTATTGTACTCTAGATTTTAGTTTGAGGTTTGGGATGTCGGATTTGTTGCTAATTGAAGTTATAGTTGTTGTAGGGCTATAATATTACTTTTGTCTACAAATAGCCAGAATAAGCATATCTCCCCACTACTGTAGCCTGTTTTGTTCTATCGTCTGGATATGAGATGAATTAGAGCCTTTGGACAGAACCAATCCAGGATTGTTGATACTCTTTTATGAAGAGTTAGAAGCTTTAGCTGGTCCCTTCCATGCTTTGTATGAATAGTTTCCCCCGGAGCCCGTGATACACAAGTATTTCGACCATTTTCGTTTATTATCTAATTGGTTACTTTCATTACCATATATAGCCTTTTTGTTTCCTTTTCAATTTATCTATATCCTAAAATATGGTTAACCTAACCTCCCTGATGTCCATCTCTATCTTTGTGATTGTATCGTTTCTGGAAATAATGTATAATCGCATGATCTGTTGTTTGCTACTCATTAAACTGTACTGTTTGTGAATGAACAGCACCTTTAAGAAGAAGGCTCCTAAGGCCATCAAGGAGATCAGGAAGTTTGCTGAGAAGGCCATGGGTACGAAGGATGTGAGAGTGGATGTTAAGCTGAACAAGCATATCTGGAGCAGGGGAATCAGGAGTGTGCCCAGAAGAATTAGAGTTCGTATTGCTCGCAAGAGAAACGATGATGAGGATGCCAAGGAAGAGTTGTACTCCCTCGTAACAGTTGCAGAAATACCCGCAGAAGGACTGAAGGGACTCGGGACTAAGGTCATTGAGGAAGATGATTGATTCGTGTCAACTGTTTTCGAGAAGAGGTGGTAAGATGATATTAGGTTGTAGTTTTGATTTGTTGAATGAAAGAAGACTCATATTTTAATTGTTGTCTTTGGAGATCTTTTTTGAATTAACTTATAGTTCCTGGACATATTCAGTATTAAGTTCAATTGTTTTTGGGTTACATTAACCGAGGCTTTTCTAGCCCTTGATCATATCATATCCATGTTTTATAATTCAATCTAAATACCATTTTGCGTTTGTTTATATAATCATAATCTTCCCTAGGGGGTAGCTGCCTTCAGCCACATCAGTATAGAATCTTTTTTTTTTCTTTTCTTTTTTGGTAGTAGTATGTTGTTTTTTTTCTTTTCTTTTTTGGTAGTAGTATGTTGATTTCTATAAAGACCATTTTCCTGGACAATCCCATCTTAATCTTTCTCGGTCTAACCCGACCCGGAGTTGTTTGGTTAATTAATGTAGGGAGTTGTTTAGTCAATGTTTTGCTTAGCAGGTTTGATTTATTTTTTTTGGCGATTACATTTAGACAATTTTGTTGCAATTAGAATTATATTGCACTATTTTTAACAATTGTTGCATAGATTCGAATAATTAAGTTGGACTATTTCATCAATGCTGAAGTTGGTCACAACGTCTCAAAGTTCAAATCGTAAGGGAAAAGAAATACACAAATTGAAAGTTGTAGCATACATGAACGAACTAAGAACGAACAAACAATAGACTATTTTGTGATGAAAAAAAAGTTGTTTGGAAACAAATTGAAGGACCACTTGGAAGGGAAAAGAAAGTTCTAAGAGGTTGAGAAAAATGAGGTTCAAATCTTGCTCTCTAAGTTTTAAACTAGAAAAGAAATAGCCAATTATATTTAGGAGGATTGTTTAGGGAAAAATCGTGAGAATTTTTTCGAATTAAAATAAATTATAATTACATGTAATTTTAGGAGAAGCAATAAAGACAAAACAAATTTTCGCGCTGAAAAAATAATATATTGCTAAAAAATAGTTTTTATTTGGGTTAGAAAAAACTTTGGGCCGATATATAAGTGAAATTAAATATGGGCTGGGCCGGCTGGATCAAATTTTCGCGCCTCAGCCAACCCACTACTATATATATGTTTGTCCATTCTCCTAAACCTAATTTTTGCAAGTTGCGTTTTTAGTTTCTAGCGGTCGAAGCGATCACGCCAGTCGCCGAACATCCGGAAGAGGAGAAGACGCTTTCAGATTAGCCATGGGTGAGGATCGAGCTCTTATAGACTCGTTTTGCATCTTATGTTCGTCTGTTTGATGATCCTGATTAATTCGTTTCTTCATCTCTGTAATCGACATTCAGGTAAGGTTCACGGATCTTTGGCTCGTGCCGGTAAGGTGAGAGGCCAGACTCCGAAGGTTGCCAAACAGGACAAGAAGAAGAAGCCACGAGGACGTGCTCACAAACGGATGCAATACAATCGTCGATTCGTCACTGCCGGTAAGCATTTATTTCCTCTCCCTCCCTCTCTCTTTGATGTTCTAATCGCGTTCGAACTTTTATCCTTTACTCGTTTTTTATGAGTTTAAATATCCTCTCGCAGTCGTTGGCTTCGGCAAGAAGAGAGGACCTAACTCGTCAGAGAAGTAAGAGTCTCAATAATTCGGCATAACAGCCATTCTTTCATGTTATTTAATATTTTTGTTAGTTCTTCCTTGATGTGTTCACTCTTGCATTGATCTGGACAATGATAGCATTCAGAAGGTTTTTGTTTAGTCACTACATGTATCTTTTACGTCTTAAGTTTTGACGTTTCGCAATGAGATGAGTTTGTTAAGTCTTTGTTAATAGACATTGGCAAGGGATGATACTGTAGGAGATCGAGTGTAGGCTCTGTATTTCTAGATCTTGCAACTGTTTTATTCTTTAGATTTGGAATTAAACTCTGGTCTTGTCATTTCCAACTACCTTCTCCCTGTGAAGTTCTCTGAGAACTGACAAGGTGTTTAGGTAACTTAGTTAGAAATTGAAGATGACAGTGAGTAAGACGGATTCTGGACAAAATGATGACAATCTCGCTTAGTAGACTTAGTTTGTTAGGAACTCATTCAACAGATTCCTATGTTTTGAATTCATTTTAAACTAATTCCTTCGTCATTTTAAACTAATTTCTTCTTCATTTTAAACTAACTTCTTCTTCATTTTAAACTAACTGCTTCTTCATTTTAAACTAACTGCTTCTTCATTTTAAACTAATTTCTTCTTCATTTTAAACTAATTTCTTCTTCATTTTAAACTAATTTCTTCTTCATTTTAAACTAATTTCTTCTTCATTTTTAAACTAATTTCTTCTTCATTTTAAACTAATTTCTTCTTCATTTTAAACTAATTTCTTCTTCATTTGAAACTAATTTCTTCTTCATTTGAATCTAATTTCTTCTTCATTTTAAACTAATTTCTTCTTCATTTTAAACTAATTTCTTCTTCATTTTAAACTAATTTCTTCTTCATTTTAAACTAATTTCTTCTTCATTTTAAACTAATTTCTTCTTCATTTTAAACTAATTTCTTCTTCATTTTAAACTAATTTCTTCTTCATTTTAAACTAATTTCTTCTTCATTTTAAACTAATTTCTTCTTCATTTTAAACTAATTCCTTCTTCATTTTCAACTAATTCCTTCGTCATTTTAAACTAATTCCTTCTTCATTTTAAACTAATTCCTTCTTCATTTTAAACTAATTCCTTCTTCATTTTAAACTAATTCCTTCATTCCTCCCGTCATTTTTAACTAATTCCTCCCGTCATTTTTAACTAATTCCTCCCGTCATTTGAAACTATTTCCTCCAGTCATTTGAAACTATTTCCTCCAGTCATTTGAAACTATTTCCTCCAGTCATTTGAAACTAAATCCTCCAGTCATTTTAAACTAAATCCTCCAGTCATTTTAAACTAATTCCTTCGCCATTTTCTAGTTGTAGTGGTAGTATTTTAGTAGCGGGGCTAGAGTATTGCTATCATAGGCCTTGTTAGTTTTTGTAGACATTCATTACGATGCAAAACCATAGATCATTCTTGTTTGTATTATCATTATTCTCGTCCATTTTGTCAAATGTAAATTACAAATTCAAGAATATTGATCTTGAATTTAGTTGATGTCCTTGTATTTATTGGAAATTTGAATTTCAAAAGCTCTCGTCTCCGAAAATGTTAAGTACCGATTTAGTTGTTTGGGAATGATGATAGTGTTTTTAAGTCAATCTTCAACCACCTTCCTTCCTCTCATTAGCTGAGACAGCCAATTAGTTTTTTGAGATAGTAAAAAGTGTTTAAAAAGTTTTAGTTATCATGGGAAGTTAAAGAGGCTAGATATGTTTCTAGAATTCCTTTAATATTTTCTCCGAAATTATTTTCTGTTAATTTTTTTTATAAAGATTTGCAAGTATAGATTTGTTTGGTTGGAGGTCAATTCTTAAAACCGTCATTTAGTATGATTTGAGACCTTAATTTAAGTGAAAGAAAGAAAAGTGAATGCCATGGAATTGTGAAATAGTGTTGTTGAAGTGAATGAGCTTCTCTTTCTTTCATTTCTTTTCTTCCCTCGTTTTCTGATAATTTAGAATTGTGAAGATGGGAAGTTCAGTCTCATCCATTTTTTATAAGGTTAAAGTAGAGGGGAAGGATTTACTAAATGGTAGGTCTTAAGAAAATGACCTCCAATCATACAAATCTATACTGATTTTTTTCTTTTATTCTTCATCTCTACTTTCAAATTATGTCTACGATATTAGGATAACTATTTGGATTCATTTAAATTTAGCTTGTTTTGCTTGTGTATAAAGTCTGCGACATTTTATTCTTTAGGTTTTAATTCATTCCTTGTATTTAATATCCTTTTTTGCTATATAGATTTTTTAAAATATTAAATTTTTAAACTTTTACTAGAAATTGGATTGAGGCTTACAAATTGGTTAAACGAATTTTCAAATGTGAAATTTGTACTATTTATTTTCATTTTCGAAGCTCACTATAAATTTTAAAAAGCAACAAAAAAGCTGATACTTTTTCGTATTTGTGAATTAGTCCATCTAGTATTTATATTTGTAAAATTTGAAAGGAAGCTTTATTAGGCCGAATTTAAATTTATGACTGATGAATTGATTAATTGATTGTGAACCTTTTAAGTTTAAAATTTCTTGCACTTCAAAATCCTGAATATGAAAAATCAGGAACAAAAACTTGAACTTAAATCTAAAACATGTTTGTTAGTAGTTGTCTTCCTAAACCAATATGCGATTACTTATAAACCTAGAATTAATAAAATTATGAAACTATGAATAAAGGAACGTACCTAAATTTCCCTAGGCCCACGAAATTAAATTTAAAATGGAACACAATGTTTGCATTCCCTGCAAAATTGAGTATAGATAATTTAAAGATTTAAAGGATGATTGCAGTTATTTCGCGTTCTTTATGTACAACTTCAACTTCACGCGGCAGGGAAGAATAGAATGGGTCGTATGCAATTTTGAACGAACGCCCATCGTATGCTTCCTGGATGGCACAATCTGCCAGGAGATTACACCGATTCAATTGCAAGATAACAGTTCATATACTCCATTGACATCTTTCAAATAAAATATAAAACGTTGAAAGAAGAAGACCTGATTAGAGGGCCATCTCCGCTTGCAGAGCTGCGAGTTCCTCTTCTTCAGCAGTTCTCTTCCGAGGAACAGGGCGTGCAGGTACTCGGCCTGACGGGACGGAAACCGGCGCAGCAGGAGTTGTTGACGCCTGTTGGAGAAGTTGCTCTTCCAACTCCGCACTTTCCAGCTCTTCAAGTTCCGCCTCCAATTCATCCTGAATGGCAACCATAGTCACTAGATGAGATACTTACTAGATATAAGCTATTAATAATAGGAAAGAGTAAAAGATTAACAACCTCGTCGAAGTCAGCTGCAGCACCAATTGGATTTGATAGCGCTTCCTGTATCTGTTTCATATTCTCCGTCTGCTCATTAATCTCATCCATCGTTTTGTCCACATCATCAATATTTCTGAAGAAGTTCCGAATAATTAAGCTACTTACTATATAAACTACAGCTCTAACTTCTCACTAAAACATGAAGAAAAATTTCACAAATCCTTCAAATTTCAGGTCGTTAAAATAATATTTAAATGAACTGGCATCAAAATTTGATCGCATTTTCTCCAGACTGCTAGCTTAACTAGATGAATGAAGTGATGAAATAAGTTCAGATATATCGTACATTTTTGGGCAATAATAATAATAATATGGTTAAAAGACGTGCTAAGATGTACTATATAACATAGACTGATTTATTTTTTTATAGATATTGAATGAACCAGCAAGACCAAAATTCTGAAAGCTTATAAACCACGAAGGCAAATAAAAGTAGGCATACGTTGCTTTCTGCATTGCCTTCATTGCAGATGCTCCTGTTCTCAAAGCATCGACAGTCTCCGTCGTAGCTTTAGCGCCTTCTAACATAATCATCTGCAAGAGTGAGAATAGGTTTTTGAGTAAAAGCTTCATTGCAGCTCATGAAAGTAAAAGAAATAGACGTCTCATCAATCAGTAAATAACGACTACAGCACACCTGATCGTGGATACGCAATTGAAAATTTCCAAGCTGCTCGACTTGCTGTTCGTAGAGTCTCTTTCTCTTCAAACATTGTATGGCCGCTGCAAACAAAATATAATGATTGTGAATGGAATCTGAAAATCATTAAGTCCTTATGGCTCTATTAACTCAATAATAGCTGTATTCAGACTACCACCGGACAATTGTCATGTAATCAAAATTGATTTTATAAATGAAAAGAGCAATATCAACATTTTCAAATCACCGTGCCTTCTACTTATTTGAAAAAAAAAAAAAATTAAAATGCAGTTTGTATTCTCTAACCCACACAAAACCATTCATGAGATTTATTTCCCTAACAAGCGAGAATCTACTTCGTAGATTCATTGAGAACAAGATTCTCCTTCTAATAATAAAAAATAACTAAAATGAACAAAGAAAAAGTACTTGAAAAACAGCATTAGTTCCTGCAGAACTTGCATTTCAAAAGTAAAAAACGGATTAAAAAACTTCGAAACGTGAGTAAACCAGGTATGGTGCGACATCAAATTTACACCTCAGAGTCGACAACGTAGGTATTAATTAAATCTTAATTACGCTCCACACATTTAAAGAATCAAAGGAAATTGAAATCAATATCGTCATAGATGAGATCACTCAATTTCAGGCCATACCTCGTTTATTCTTCACTCTTGTGAACTCTTTAGCTTTTTCAACCTCTGCAGATGCCTTCTTTACAAGAACGTTCTCTTTCTTCTCCAGCATTTCAAGCGTCTAAACAGATCATTACAGACAGTGAAAAAAAGTGCCCAAAAACCTTGGTACCAATTATGAAAAGCTTTGTTAGACTAAAAAGGTCTGTGCGTTCACAATTACCATCACATCGGACATGATTTCAACTATCAACTCCAATATAATCGCATAGAGGAATAGCATAGAAATGTAGTACACAGTTTTCAGTTCTTACATCTGTGAAATTTCACCTAGTGTACCGCGGTTACAAGTAGGAGAACAAGTGTAAAATTACATGTTAACCTAATTCAAATAAGACGATTATTTCTCAACCGGAACCACCACTTGACCAAGTGAAAAGAAGAACCAAATAAACACTAATACTCGGTCAAGGAGAAGTGAGAACCAATTATCGTGGCGTCATAAACACTAATACTCCGTCAAGGAGGACCAATTACTCAGTCGTCATAAACAATAATATTTGGAAGAGGTGAATGAACGAGAAGTCAAA